GAGCTGGAAAGCCTATAAGGACTTAACAAGTTCCCCATTAGTAACAGTAGCCAACTGATCATCTTGAACACAGGGGATCAAAGTGGGTAGTTGGCCATACATAGCCTCAAAAAGAGTAATGTCCTGGAGGTAGGGAGTACATTGTATGCACAGAAGGGAAAAAGGAAGGAGACTTCCCCAGTTTTTGCCAATCTCAAGAGCCAGTTTTGAAATAGTTTCCCTATGGTTTTGTTCATTCTCTCTACTTGGCCTGAATTTTGAGGCTGGTAGGCACAGTGTAATTCCCAATTGATTTCTAAATCTGCAGCTAAATTTTGAGTGTTCTGAGCCATGAAAGCTGGGCCATTGTCCAACCCCAGAAATGTGGGCAAGCTGAATCAAGGCACTGTGTCACAGAGGAGTTTCTTAGCTACTATGAAAGCTGATTCAGTCTGAGTGGCAAATCCTTTGGACCACCCAGTGAATGTGTCTATGAAAACTAAGAGATATTTATGCCCCCCCTTCCTGGGCCCACTTCATAAAGTCTATTTCTCAGTGGTCTCCAGGGATAAGTCCTTGTTGTCTCTTTTGAGCATCAGTGGGGGCCAGTTTAGGGTTCACCTGAAGACATTGTGGGCATTTTTTTTGCTGACCTCTTTCATCAGGTGAGGTAATTTGGGGATGAAGTAATGTCCTCCGAATAACTCAGCCAATTTGGTCCCCCCTAAGTGAGTAGCCCAATGGATCCTGGATGAGCTGGGGGTCCAACTATTATGGGATGAGAATTCACCCATTTTGTAAGGTCTGCCAGCCTTCGAGAGGAATTCAAGCCTCTAGGCTCTTGGCAAGCCTCAAATCTGAATCTATGTAGGATGCTCTGGGTAGCATGGTTAGTGGGAGAGCTGGGAGGAGCATTATAAGCCCCACTGGTTTTAGTGCCACCTCTTTTGCTGTTTTATCAATGAGGTCATTTCCTTGAGCTATTGGGGCGTCCTCCCATTGGTGCTCCAAACAGTACATAATGGTGATCTTTCAGGGCAACTAAATGGCAGCCGAGGGTCTAAGATCTTGGGTGCATTCTTGATCTTTGTTTCTGCTGAGGTTAATAGTTCTTTTTTCCTGATAAATGGCTCCATGAACATGGGCATTAGCAAAAGCATACTAATATCTGTATATATATTTATGGATTTATTTTGTCCCCATCTAAGAGCTTGAGTAATGGCTCTCAGCTCTGCCCACTGAGCTGAAGTTCCTGGCCCTAAAGCTTGGGCCCATATTATGTCAGTTTTGGTGGTCACTGCAGCTCCTGTCATTCAAGTACCTTGGTAGCTAAACTGCTACCATCTGTGAAAAGGATGGCTTCAGGCTAGGAAAGTGAGACATCAGTGACAGCTCATAGGTTTGACACTGAGTCAATAATGTCCATACAATTATTTATCAGCATTGAGGGATCATCATCTGGCAGGAGAGTTGCTGGACTGAGGGCAGAGGTAGACAGGAACTCGATGCATTCAGGATCTAGTAGAAGGGCTTAATACTAGACAATATGAGCACTGGAAAGCCATCTATTGGGAGGTTACCACAATAGTGTCTCCACAGCATGTGGGACCAATATCTAGAGTCTCTGGCCAAAAGTCAACTTAGAGGCTCCCTTGGTGAGCATTGCAGTGGCTGCAATTGTCTGTAGGCAGTTCAACCACCCTGCAGCTGTGGGGTCTAATCATCAGGAGAGATAAGTGACAGGCCTCTTCCAACATCCTAGATACTGGGTTAAGACCCCTTTTGTGATCCCATGGTTCTTGGCCAAACGCAATTTGTTACGGGTTAAGAACTGGTGGTCAACGTAATGCCAGCTGAATTATATCAGCATGCATTGAGCAAAGATGCTCCACCTGAGGAGGATTGCCAGGATAAATAGGTGGAGAAGAAGAGAGGTGTGGAGGGTTGAGGCATTAAGGAGGCATTGTAGGTTCTCCTACGAGTTGTTGGCTGAGCTGTTGGTTCTCCTGGAGAAGCTTTGGTCCTCACATCGAGCATAGCTTCCTAGCTCCGGAGGGGAAGACATGTGCTGCTTGGACTCCAGGATGAACTCGTCACACTGCTTTCTGGCACATACTGGACTGTGCTTGTCATCGGAGGAGCTCGGGGCCTCTGTGTTGCTGAGGACAGCTGTGGTGCCTTTCAGGATAGCCCTGGTCTTTGTTTTGAGTGTGACTTCTTGGCTCCAGCGTAGAACCCTCATCCCACTAGCACAGCTCCTTCATCCTGCTGGCATAGACTTCCTGGCTTCCACTTCTGATCCTTGGGTCTTCCCGGCACAGATCCATAAAAGAGACTGGTGTGAGTCCTTTTTGTGGGCTCTGGATCTCCAGTTGGACTCGTGGGAGGCATTGTCCTGAGCTCTGGGTTTTTATCTGGACTCATGTGGGACATTCTCGTGGGGTTTAGGCTCTTGACTAAATAATTTATGTCTTTGGTGTTGCGGATAAATTTTCTGCATTTTCCTGTGTTAACTCCCGGTGACCATTATAAAAATATTATAAACTTCATGTCCTAATCCTAGTTGTTCTCTGTGTACAACCCCTGACTACAACACAATTCGAAAGGTTTGGCTAAGTCAGGGAGAACGAGGGCTGGGGCATTTATGGGAGCCTGCTTTACATCATTGAAAGCTTGTTCCTCTAGCTCACTCCAGGTTAAAGGTCCAGATGGACCCCTCCAGTAAAGGTATAGAGTGGCTGAGCAAAACCCAGGATCCACAACTGGCATTAGCCCAAAGCCCCAGAAGTCTTTCTAATATCTGGAGCCAACTTGGAGACAAACACAATATTTCAGGCACCATCTGTTCTTGGGTGCCCCCAGGTTAATAGGTGTATAAATACAATATGCTTCTAGGGGATGCTCCAAGAACGCGGATGGAGCCTCATCGGGTCCCTAACTTACCTCTGAACCCTTAGAGAGATTGGTTGGCTTCTGTGCAACTGATTTTAAGGCACACAGGAGAGTCTGGCAATGCCATTGGAGAGCCTCCTTATCTTGGTCAACATTTGGATTCCAAGTAGGGCAAGTGATGGGAGACATGAGGTCCAAATGGGCCAAGTTGGAACTAGGGTGGCCATCCAGTCCTGGGACCAGTTTTCATCCCAGAGTACAGTTGCGTTCGTGTTCCTCAGAAGTGAAGAGAATGTGGAGAAGCTGCTAGCAATTGTCCCAAGTGTGTTGATGCATAAAGAAAACAGACTCAAAGAGGGAGATGAGTCCATGGGGTTCCTTCTCCAGCCTTATGGAGGGGTAAAAGAGGGGTTGGTGGGAAAGAAGTGGAGTTGGGAGAGGAGGGTCCCAGGATGGAAGCCTTAGAAGAAGGGCACCTGCTACAGGTGTGTCAGGAGGTTTGGGAGAGGTAGCTTGTGACTGTAACAATGGCATATGATTTGGGCTGGCAGGAGGGGACCCACTTAGGGGGGTCCAGATAGACAACTTGGTCAGGGTGGCCAGGTGTCCTGAAGATGACCTGACAGACCTGTTGACACAAAGAGAGGTTAAAAGATACTTCCAGAGGCCAAGAGACCCCAAAAGTGGGCAGAGCTTTCCTGGTAAACTGGTTCACCATAAGAAGAGGCTCTCTGATGAAATTCCTGAAAATGGTTAAGAACAAGTTGCAGGAGTGACAAAGAAGCAGAAACAGACTGACCCATGACACAAATAGTGTGCCCTAGTTTAGTGTGTCACTAAGCCGATGACACACAAGATTAACAAGACAAAACACAAAGTTAACAAGACAAAGATTGAAACTAGTAGACTGACACCAGGAGCTATTTCAACCTATAAGTCAACAAACCCCAGTCAATGTCTTGGTCTGGGGACAAGTCCTGGAGACTCTAATGTTGGGTCCAATATCTCTAAGGACTCCCAAGGGGTGCCTACCAAACTGAGACAGTCTAACCAGTAAGGATCCAGACAGTTCACTCTGAATTAGTGTTCAGGATTTTGGATTCTCTTCCTTGGGGCAAACAATGTCTCCTGGCAGTCCCGCTAAGCAATAATCACTTAAAAGAAACACTTAGATCTTGTAAATCCCTAAATAGGGATCCCAGATGAGCCCCCAAATGAGATGGATTCATAATCAATATAGGAATCCAAGCAGCCAAACTGACAAATTTTGGAATTTGTTAGCTGAGTTCAGTGACCACCCACATAGACTCCTGTTTTAGTCAGACCAAGGGTCCCCAAACTGGAGAGTTACAGTTTTTAAAGCAGAAAACCCCAAGCAAAACATCCTGTTGGGAACAATTTAGCTAAAATCTTACATTAATTTTGTTGACAACTGTGTCCTGCTTCATTGTTGAACAGGCTAATTTTTTCTTATGGATGCAGCTTATTCTGCTTTTCTCATAATGTACCCTGAGTAATTTTTCACTCTTCTAGGTCAAATACAGGGCAATAAGTTATGCCAAGCTACAACAAGAATACCATACATATTAAAAATGCTCTCTAGATTTCTAAATTTGGAGAAAAAGCCTGTGAAAAAGTTTTATTTTACTCTCAGATTCTAGCAGTGGTAAGAAAATCACAGTCTTTAAAAAAAAAAAAAAGAGGATGACTATTGCATAATGAGAGCTTTACATTCTACCTGCTATGTGTGGAACATTAAAACAAAAATACTGAGTGTTGTTATTACCCTAATTCTTCTCAACCACAATCACCAGATGCACTTGATTTTACCATGTGCTTAGGTAACCCCTCTCCCCCCACACTGCTGTTCTTCACATTTCTCTTTGCTTTGGAAGAATCCAACAATTATCCTCCAAGTCCTGTTCTGTTTTTAACTTCCTTTTTTTTTTTTGGTCTTTCTCATTTTTATTGGTACCAGGGATCGAACTCATGACTGCCTGCTTGCAAGGCAGGAACTTATGCCACTGAGCTAAATCCCCAGCCCTTTAACTTCCATTTTTTATGTCAATAAGGTCACCAGGCAAATAGTGTAAGTTTATGTATTTATTTATTCATTGTCTTTTTTTAACCAAAAGAAAGCACAAATGCAGTCCCCCACTACCATAAATTATGCAGTACATTTCTCACATTTAGGGAAATCACAGGGATCAGCACACCCACAATGCAATGAATGAAGCTTGCCCTGGGAAACCACCTTCATGATCATGGTAACTGCCCTGCCAGGTAAGTATCATGTATTTATTTTTACTTCTGTAAGAATTCCTTATTACATGTTGAGATATGTTATCATATTTAAATATAAATTATTAAAATCACCATATTGATTTCCATGGAGAGGACATATCAGTTAGTATAAATTCAAGTCCTCAATATGTCAGTGTCTCCTGGGGAAATCCACTCATTTTCATGAACTGATCCACCCATGGGTTACCAGACTGCATCTGTGGTACAGCCGAGAGGCTGCTCCTCTTTTCCATGGCACCATTTTGCATTCACAGTGAGGGTGCATAGGGATCAGCTGTTGTCATTTCCTTCAGTCTGCTTGGCCCTGTTGTGTAGGAGGAGTTATACGGAATGGGAGGCCTTGTGGAGACAGCTTGCCTCAGGCTCATCCTGGCTAATTTCTTTGAGCAATCAGCAGTTTCTGGGAAGAAGGTGTTTAACGCCTCTATTCTCACAGAACTGTGTTTTCTAGAAGCCAACCTAGATACCAATTCTAATGTGTTGGCCATCTCACAAAGGCATTTACTGATTAACTTTCCAATTCCTACAACACATTTTAAACTCTTTCTTCCATACATGATCACCTTAGTGTCCAGAATTAAGATCTACCTTTGATCCACAAATCAAAGTCCAATCATAGGAAACATTTTTTGAGGAAACAGAATTTTCAACTGAAAACACTGAATTTGATTGGCGAGGGAAGGTTCCTACTGTTTAATAATATGCTAAAAGTGAAAGAAAGAGGCTTTGTTTGGGTGTTTCAGAAAGTGAAGGAAATGATCACTTACAATGTGCCTTATTTTGGCAATGATTCTTTAATACATAGAAAAGTAAGATAATTTTTTATATCTTTATAACCACAAGATGGCACCAACTTTCCATTGTAAAAGTTTGACACTTGCTTTTCATGTTTTAGAATTTTTTCAAGATTACAAACTGTTGCATGAGGTTTGGTTACTACCTTCACTCGAAAGTGGTCTCACAGACTAAAAGGAGACTCAGTGCATTAAATAAAATCCACAGGATGTGTAATACTTGTAGTTTGCATTGCTTGTATCTTTGGCACCAGTGTGGAGGAAGTCTCTAATGGGTAAGGTGGAATAATTAGTAATTTTGTTCATAAATAAGATATAGTTTCAATCTCAAAGCCACATTATGGGTAATTTTATGAGGCTTCTCTTGAGCAACCTCATCAGATTTATTTTATTACTTGTGAAAAGGAAAAATCTACATGACTATTGTTCATGAGCCTGCTGACAAAGAGCAATAAGTACTTTGGATGTGTGTCTTTGTGCTTCAGGGTCAGGCTCTATGTCTTTTCTTTGATACATGATTTATATTGCATTTGTGAGTTTTGACAGCAACACCAATAACTGAAGTAGGTCTTCTTGATTATTTTAAAAATGAAATTTTAAATTGGTAAAATACCTATAAAATGGAGTTTAGCTAAACGTTGACCACGTTTTCTGTGATGTGGGCTTTAAAATGACGTGAAACTGTGAAATCCTGCTGTGTCCTGCTGAGACTTTACCCCGTGCTGAATTTGGGCCTGAACATGAGGAAGTGGCCTTTCCTTTGGTGCCTCCTCCTGTATTGTTTCCTGGTGGACTCTGATGGTTGAGTTACCAGGTGCCCAGTTCTTCACATAATCCCTGTGTGTTCACAACTCTTCAACACGCTCTTCTGTAACTCATCTTTCCTGAACACCGTTCTGTTTGTAATTTAAGGTCTTGGTGTTACCTACTGAAATTTCAGGGCTTTGATTGCAAGAATGATTTCCCAGAATAATACCGATCAATTCTATGTATTTGATGACATAGTAAATATTGAGGATGTTTGTTTTAAACCTGAGGACAATAAAAATGGCAAAGTGTCAAGAATAGAATAGGACAGTTGGAAGTTGGGGGATCTAGAATTCTAGTTTGCAGTGTGGTAGTGACTAATTAATGAAAAAAACATAGGATTGTGGTGATTAGATGTTTATGGTTTTCTTGATGATGTTTAAAAAGTTTTGACCTTGAGTAGATTCCTATGATTTGCATCCAATGTGTTTTGCACAGTTAAAGAGCAAATATTCCAGATAAAGGCTTAGGTTATAGTGCTAGAACAGTAAAATAGCTAAACAAGAAACAATTATGTCACTGAAAGTGCTTCATATAAAGAAAACAGGAGGTTGTTCGAGAATATTGAGAGAGTTTGTAGTTACAACAGGGGGAAGTGGGAATGGAATACTGTATTCAGAGAAAATTTTCTCAGTGTGACTTTTAAACTGGTGGCTCAAGGAGAAGAATGAGCCAGCCATGGGAAAGTCTAGGAGGAGGACATTCTGAAACTACAGAAGAGTGGATCACATCTGTTCCTTGTGGTACCCTTAATATCTCAGGTGACCGGGAAGCAAAGTCTGGGATAACCATCACTGTAATCAGTTTTATTTTTATGATGTGTCAAAATGGAAAGGCATAAATAGTGCCTACACATTTTAGATCCTTCATAAATAAGTATTATTTCCCTTCTTTATTTCTTTATTTTTATATTAAAGAGAACAAAACCAAGCAAAATAAAACAGAATAAAGCAAATCAAAACAAACCAGTGTAAGTGACACAGGATTTCAAAACAATATGAAATCAACAATACTTACCATAATGCTTCTTGTTGTCTTCAAAACAGCTGCAAATACCTTTAGACACAGTAAAAAAAGCAAATAAAACAGAACAGAATAGAAGCAATAAAAACAATGAATGCAATACAGGACTTCAGAACAAGACAATAGTAAATCCAAAATGGCCACCATAATAAATCTTGTTATCTTTGAAATAGCTGCCCATGTCATTGGATATAATAAAACCAAACAAAACCAAACAGAATAAAAACCCAATGCAACAAAACAATAAAAATGTACAGGACTTCAAAACAAGATGATAAGGAATTCACAATGGCCATCAACCTTTAGAAGGAGATGCCACATAGATGCTACGTTGCATATTGTTGTCCTCTGAAGAGATGATCAGACCACCAGCTTTAGACCTGCAAAGTCAGTGAAACACTAAACACTCAGTAGCTATCATTACAGCTTGTGTTTCTCTGGACCGGCTCACTTATGGGGAGTGTGGGGGTTCGGCTCTTCTTGTTTCCCAGCCTGCATGCCAGAAGGGGCTGGCACTGGGCTCTTCCTCCAGCATCCCGTGCATGGCACTGATTTGCAGGAAGGGCTTGCTTCTTGTTGAGTTTTTGTTCTCTTCCCCAAACTCCCCTTATTTCTCTTCTTACTAAGGCTTCCTATACTTCTTTGATGTTCTTTCTTAATGAGAAGGAATTGCATGCTGTGTCTAATATTTACATATTATTCAAACATAAAATTTTCTTACTGCTTTGTCTCTTTATTTAATCTTCTTTTTTGTTGTTGTTGTTGTCTTTTTGAGACAGGGTCTTGCTATGCAGTTCAAGCTGGGCTTAAGCTCACTTTGTAGCTCAGGCTGGTCTTGAACTTGCAACGATCCTCCTGCCTCAGCCTCATGAGTGCTGGGATTACAGGCATGAGCCACCACACTAGGCTTAATCTTCTTTCTTGTCAGTAAAAATTTTACCAAAGATATTTATATTTTTCTAAATTCTTGTTTGCCTAAATAGAACAACTTTTATAAAGTTCTATTCGTAATCAACACGACATACTCCAGTCTCTTACCATGCCAGATATCTTACTTTAACACTGAGACAATGTCTGGCATTAGAAGTCTTTTAAATACTTAATTGTGCATTATAGCAAGTACGCTAACAAGAATTTGGTTAAATATGTATTTTTCAATGTCTTATTTTTGGTATGGATGCAAAGTAGGTATTTGAAAGTTAGTTCCTTCTCCGAATATGTATGCCTTATTCATGAATCGTCTTCCTCCAACCTCCTGGGCTCAGTTTAGAGTCACACGAAGACAAAATGTAGGCTTGATCTATGGAGCATATAAGACATTCTCTCTTAAAAATGTTTAGTTTTCAGTATATGTTTCTCTTATTCTTAAGTCTAATCAATTTAGGATAGGAAATTCAGATGTCTTCTTAATGATTAGTATACCTTTATGAAACTCATTATCAACACTGATTTTAACAGAGTATTTCTGAGAGTCTTAGAAGGATGTTGGTCTTTACCTGGGACTGTAGATAAAAGAAAAAAATAAAGTAAGTGGACAAGAGTAAGGTAAGAACTTTTTATTTAAAAAGTTATTTGACAGAACATTTATTTAAAATTGAGCAATGATATTCTAATAGCAAGGAAAATTACTTATTAAAACATGGCAAGGAAAAAGAAATAAATGGCAATAGTTGTATATCTTACCAAATTCCAGCAAAGGGTGAATCAAGAGTGTCCCTAGGGGCTGGGGATTTAGCTCAGCGGCATAAATGCCTGCCTTGCAAGTAGGCAGTCATGAGTTTGATCCCTGGTACCGGGAAAAAGGAAAAAGACAAAAAAAAAGAGCGTCCCTAAAGGAGCTGAATTATTAGCTCCATTTCAAGACAGTCGTTGACCTGGGGAGAGGTAGGGAATAAGGGGGAGGAAAGGAGAAGAGGGGAGGAGGGGTAAGAAAGGCAGAAAGGGGAGAGTCTGTGAGGGAGACAGAAGCTGGTGCGTGTGGTGCAGAGTGAAGACACAGTGGTTACCAACAGCAGCGGGTAGACATGTGGAAAGAACGTAAAGTGAGCTTCCAGTACCAACATTTGCCCAAGAAATGCAGAAAAAGCTCCATGTCTTCCTGTTTTCCTCACTGTTAGGAAGACATGAAGGTTGGAGTACCTAATCATGCAGGCTGTTTTTTAGTTATCATGCATAAGTGGATATGCCACGCAAATATGCCACTTCGCAGGATAGGATCCTACAGGCCAAAATAAAAGAAGGGAAAGAAGAAATAGGTGGGGCTCCTCATGGAGATCCGGAACGTGACAGCCTAGTAGTAGAAAGTCATTAGACGGTTTGTAATTCCGTGTGCAGTATTAATATGGGGGTGTGGTAGGCAAAAA